GACAGATAACTGACTGCTCCTAGGCTTGGGAACATCCATCCGAGGAACGACTCCTTTAACTGCGTTATTGCCAGTTGAAGTCTCGAGGGGGAAGAGAGCACGGTCTGAGGACCTCAAGCCAGTTTTTATACCCAATTTTCTGATATGGGTACCTCTTGGCTTAGCCAATTATCTCGCGCCGTTAGATTGCTGACATGGTTGCAGGAACTGTACAAGGCTCTGCTCCAGTCGGTCACGACAGAGCAAAGGCAGCTTCTGAGCACCGAGCGGGCGACGACGGACGCCGCCCTCAGCGACCTCATTCGTAATATCGAAGAGGTTCCTCGGTCCACCCTGCTTCACGCCTTTTGAGTAGATCTGCGTTCCGTGCACACACTTCTTTGTACAGATAGATGTAGCATCGATGGCGGATGTCCATGCTTTCTTGGATGGACTTAAGCTCATTCTACAATAATTGACGCTATGAGGATATATTTGGAAGTCATTCGTCTGCGCCACGGCCAAATACCGGGATTAATCTCGACGCTAATAAGCAGGAAAATAACGATGCACGGCTACGAACACATTCCAGCGCCGGGAGAAAAAAGTCTAGACAACGACCATACTATGACCGAGCCTGGAGTCGAACCAAGACTTCCCACCACCGGATTCAATTGATCGCCGAATTCATGTATATCGCAGGGGCGCGGCACCGTCCGCTACTGGGTCTGATTCTTGTACAGCTGATCCCTGAAATTTTGAATGTGGATGCGGCTTTCAAAACACACACCGAAAAAAACAAGTGTGCGTCCAATGCATGACCCAGCCTGGACTCCGAGGCTGGAGTCGAACCAGGACCTCTCACGTGCAACCACGCCTCCATTACATCAATGCAAGTGAGCACGGGCCATCCGCCACTGGGTCCCATCTTGGACCCTGCTTTGAACTCAAGTTGGTACAATACCCACGCCAAAAAGACGGGATAAAAGGACATTGCAACAAGAAAATCGCCCAGCCTGAAGTTGAACCAGGGCCTCCCGTGTGCAGAATGTGCAAAAACTTACGGAGCGCGGGAGCGGACCATCTGCCACTGGTCTCATTTGCCCAGTGGTGAACCTCGCTACGTAGGCTACACCGGAGCGCTGCCGCATGGGATTGTAGGATTCTCAGGTGACGGCAGTGATGAACAGCAAATCAAAGGCCTTGAGATTAGCAACTGCGCGACGCAAAGTCATACGAGAAAAAGAAGGCTCTCCTCGAATGACTCAGCCTGGAGTCGAACCAGGGAGGGGCTCCCACGTGCAAGCGCTGCGTCTCATAATGCGAGTGGGTGCGGTACCGTCTGCCACTGGGTCTCGTTCCTGCACAATTGAACTCCCCTTTAGATTCCACTTTGAACGAGACCCAAGGCAAAAAGGAAGCACTCGAGCCAAGACCCAGCCTGGAGTCGAACCAGGGGATCCCACGATAATTCCGGCCGACAATGTATACCGGGTGCGGTACCGTCCGCTACTTGGTCTCATTCCTGTAGCGTTGAACTCAATTTGCATGCTAGTCCTTCGCAATTTTGCCGCAAAAATCAGTGAAGAAAAAATTCCACCTTCATTGCATGACCCAGTCTGGAGTCGAACTAAGGATTCCCGCATGCCATTTGAAGAGGACGTACATGGAGCGAGCGCAGAACCATCCGCCACTGGGTCTTACTCTTCCCATCTTGAACTCTCTTTTGAATTCGAGTTCGAATACATCCAGAGCCAAAGAAAAAAAAGTTGTCGTACAAGAGCACAGGACCCAGCCTGGAGTCGAACCAGGGCCTCCCGTAAGCTTTCGCAGACTTCTTTATGTATGGTGGGCACGGGCCATGCGCCACTGGGTCTTCATTCCTGTAGTGTTGAACTCTCTTTTGAGTTCGAGTTTGCACGAGACCCAGGGCAAAAAGGAAACCTGGACAACCCTTCCTGTTAAGGTATAAGGCACTCGGGCACATGACCGAGGCTCGGGGATGTCTCGGGCTAGTGAGTAAAGTGAACGGCTCATCATGAATCACAGAGAGTCAGAAGGAACACTATGGAAGGCTCCGGAATACTATGGAATATTTATTGCATGACTCAGAATGACTCGGATGGACCGGATGGACCGGATGAACAGTATAAATATAGTAGGAAAAATCTAGATACCTCACGAGCTTGTAACCCTTCGGCTTCACCGCCATCGTGTAAATCTAAGAATTGATTGCACCAAATATCGAGTGAACTAAGAATTGAACACTCTCAAGCAGAAACTCCATCACTTCCATGACCCAGCCTGGAGTTGAACCAGGTCCTCCCACGTGCAAGCGCTACGTCTCACACCGGCTAATGCGACTGGGCGCGGTACCGTGCGCCACTAGATCTTATTTCACCACTGTTGAACCCAGATTTGAGTTCAAGTTTTGAACGAGACCCAGGGAAAAAAGGAAACTTTCGCCCCAAGACCCAGCCTGGAGTCGAACTAGGTTCTCCCGCGTGACTACGGACGCCACGTATACGGCGCGGGCGCGGTACCATCCGCCACTGGGTCTTCATTCCTCGAACTCTGCTTTGAGCTCGACTTCAAAGAGAACCAGAGCAAAATTAAAAAATATTTTCTCTCCACAGGCGACATGACCCAGCCTGGAATTGAACCAGGTGTTCCCACATCCAAGTACAGGGATGAAGACGACAATGCAAGATGGGTGCGCGCCGTCCGCTACCGGGTCTCATCCCTGTAGTGTTGAACCTTGCTTCGACCACAGTTATGTCTTCTCTCGAAAGCGGCATGACCCAGCCTGGAGTTGAACCAGGGACTCCCGCAATAATCCCCAGAGGGTTCGGTGCGCACTGAACGTGGGCCCGGAGTCATCTGCCACTGGGTCTTATTTGCCTAGTGTTGAACCTCGCTACGTAGGCTACACCGGAGCGATGCCGCACGGGACCGAGGGGTTCTCGGTTGAAGTCAGCGATGAACAGGAGATCAAAGAGGCTTGGGAACGAGACGTACGGGATAGGCTCAGAGTCGCAATGGCGCCACGGGGAGAAAGAAAAAGAAAAAGAACGCTCAAGCAAGAATGACCCAGCCTGGAGTCGAACCAGGTTCTCCCACGTGCAAGTACAGCGATGAGGACTACAATGCGAGTGGGCACGGACCGTGCGCCACTGGGTCTGATTCCTGTAAAGCTGAAGCCGGTCTTGAGTTCGATTTTGCACGGCATCCACCTAAAAGATGGAAAAAGGATACTGCGAAAAGAACACAATGACCCAGCCTGGAGTCGAACCAGCAGTGTTCCCACGTGCAGATCAACTCCCAGATCAATGCAAGGTGGGCGCGGACCATCCGCCACTGGGTCTCATTCCTCTACCTTTGCCCCTCGTAACGTGGGTTACTTTGCACCGCCGCCGCACGGGATTGTGGGATTCTCGGTTGAAGTCAGCAATGGACAGAAAATAAAAGGATCTGGAAGCAAGGCTTACCGACCCCAGTGGGAGTAGCGACGGCGTGAGGCGAAGTCGTAATGCGAAAAAAAAAGAAGGCTCTCTCGATCATGAATGTCCCAGCCTGGAGTCGAACCAGGATCTCCCACGTGCAAATTCAGCGATCAAGAAGACAATGCAGGTGGTGCGCGCCGTGCGCCACTGGATCTTCATTCCTCCCATCTTCAACTTTCTTTTGAGTTCGAGTTCGAAAACATCCAGAGCCAAAGAAAAAAGAAGCGCGCATCCGAATGATCCAGCCTGGAGTCGAACCAGGTTCTCCCACGTGCAAGTGCACAGATCAAGAAGACAATGCAGGTGGGTGCGCGCCGTGCGCCACTGGGTCGTATTTGCGTGGAATGGGGCGTTTATTAATGCGCGCGCAGCGAAATTAATGCAGACACAAGAGAGGAGAGGGGCGGGCGACGCGCAAAGGCAGTATATGGAGCGTGGAGTGTAGATCGAGAACAGAATCCGAATTCTCGAAGACTCGGATGGCCGAGGAAAGCGCGGGCTTGCTGGCGGTGGTCAGGTCGGCGTCGGTCGGGGAGGCTCCGTAATCAGGCAAGATACCGGACGCATGGAAATGGCGCGGAGAGGGAGGAACGAAATATGCGGGAGAAGGGAGAAGTGTGCCTGCGGAGGCGTGTTTTTCCCAGCCTTTCTGCGCGCAAAAGACTCTGATGAGGGGCGGGATAAATGAACGTCAAGAGACGGGCGGCGAAGGCTTTGTGTAGCAATTGCAAGCAGCGCATAGAGCCCACGGGATACTGCGGCGAAGGCCCTGATGGGGCAGCCGTCGTAAATATAGACGGATGCTTGGAAGTGAAGCTGACAGGTAACTTATATTGGTGCTCGGGCACTCGGGCAGGGGGATCTGCGCTTCCTGGGAACAAGAGCGAGAGGGATTGGATGACTCAGACGAAGCACCACGTCTCACACTGGTTAATGCGAGTGGGCTCTTCCTTCCTCCAATCTTGAACCTCGCTACGTAGGCTACACCGGAGCGCTCCTGCACGGGATCATGGGATTCTCGGTTGAAGTCAGCGATGGAAAGAAAATGAAAGGCTCTGGAAGCGAGACGTACCGAATCCAGCCGGAGCAGCAACGGTGCGAGGCGAAGTCGTGCGCAAAAAAGAAACCTACTCGATTTCGAATGACCCAGCCTGGAGTCGAACCGGGTTCTCCCACGTGCAAGTGCATAGATCGAAACGAGAATGCAAGGTTGGTGCGCGCCGTGCGCTACTGTCTCATCCCTCCCATCTTGAACCCTGCTTTGAGTTCGAGTTGGTAGGATATCTGGAGCCCAGAGACAGGAAAAAGTTAGTCGAGCTCAGAGATGCATGACCCAGCCTGGAGTCGAACCAGGGCCTCCCACGTGCAAGAGTACAAGTGCAAGAAAACGATGCAAGGTGGGTGCGCGGCCGTGCGCCACTGGGTCTTCATTCCGCTCAGATTGAACCTTGCTTTGAGCTCGACTTCAAAGAGAACCAGAGCAATTTTTTTTAAAAAAGTTTTGCTGCGAGAACTGCATGACCCAGCCTGGAGTCGAACCAGGGGCTCCCGCATGACCATATTTACCATCTTCCCGGACTCATATGGTGCGGGCGCGGACCGTCCACCACTGGGTCTTATTTCACTCATCTTGAACCCTGCCTTGAGCTAGACTTTGCGGGATATCCGGGCCCAACAAAAAGTGGATGACAGCAATGTTATGACCCAGCCTGGAGTCGAACCAAGGATTCCCGCATGCAATCGCAGAGGACGTACACGGCGCGGGCGCGGTACCATCCGCTACTGGGTCTTATTCCTCGACAGTTGAGCCCTGCTGTGAGCTCGACTTTGAAGAGAACAAGAGCAATTTAATAAAAAAAAGCTTTTCTGCGAGCGATGAAGGACCCAGCCTGGAGTCGAACCAGGTTCTCCCACGTGCAAGTAGAACAATCAGGGTAATGCGAGTGGGCGCGGTAGCGTGCACCACTGGGTCTCATCCCTGTATTGCTGAACCTTGCTTCGACCACAATATCCGCACCTAGATGGAAAAAAGCACATTGCGATAGATGAAGGACCCAGCCTGGAATCGAACCAGGTGTTCCCATGTGCAAGTGCACTGATGAAGATAACAATGCAAGGGGGGCGCGGATCGTCCGCCACTGGGTCTTATTCCTCCCATCTTGAGCCCTGCTTTGAGCTCGACTTTAAAGAGAACAAGAGCAAAATTAAAAAGCTTGTCTGCGATAGATGAAGGACCCAGCCTGGAGTCGAACCAGGACCTCCCGCATGCCAAATTGACCTTTTGATATATGGTGCGGGCGCGGTACCATCCGCCACTGGTTCTTCATTCCTGTAAACCTGAACCATGCTGTGAGCTCGAGTTTGCACGAGATCCAGAGCAAATTTTAAAAAAAAAGCTTTTCTGCGAGCGATGAAGGACCCAGCCTGGAATCGAACCAAGGGCTCCCACGTGCAAGCGCTACGTCTCATATTGCGACTGGGCGCAGACCATCCGCTACTGGGTCTCTCTTGCCTAGTGTTCAACCTCGTTACGTGGGTTACCTTGCACCGCCGTCGCACGGGATTGTGGGATTCTCGGTTGAAGTCAGTGGTGCAGACTTCAATGGGAGGCCTATGCCATATGTAGACTAGGATTCGAAATGGCGTGGAGAAATGCATATGCGCAATTATTCGAAACGGTACGGAGAAATGCGCAATTATTCGAACCGGCGCGGAAAATGCGCAATCAAAAAAGAACCCTTCTGGACTTCGAATGACCCAGCCTGGAATCGAACCAGGACCTCCCGCATGCCAAATTGACCTTTTTCTATCTGGTGCGGGTGCGGTACCGTCCACCACTGGGTCTTATTTCACCCATCTGTAACCCTGCTTTGATTGAGAATTTCGAGGAACACAGGCCCGCGCCGGGAGAAAAAAGACGTGTCGAGCGTTCGAATGACCCAGCCTGGAATCGAACCAGGGCCTCCCACGTGCAAGAGGGCACAGATCAAGACGAGAATGCAAGGTGGATGCGGACCATCCGCCACTGGGTGCGATGCCTGTGAAGCTGAACCCTGCTTTGAGCTCGAGTTTGCACGAGATCCACAGCTAAAAAAAATCATTTGAGTCGAGCATCCGAATGACCCAGCCTGGAGTCGAACCAGGTGCTCCCACGTGCAATCCATGCACCAAAAGCTATGGCAAGTGGGCGCACGCCGTGCGCCACTGGGTCTTATTCCTCCAATCTTGAACCCTGCTTCGACCACAATATCCGCACCTAGATGGAGGAAAAGCACAATGCGATAGATGAAGGACCCAGCCTGGAGTCGAACCAGGTGTTCCCACGTGCAAGTGCACTGATGAAGATAATAACAATGCAAGGTGGGTGCGCGCCGTGCGCCACTAGGTCTCATCTCTGTAGTGTTGAACCCTGCTTCGACCACAATATCCGCACCTAGATGGAAAAAAAGCATATTGCGAACAGAACTATGACCCAGCCCGGAGTCGAACCAGGTTCTCCCACGTGCGAACGCCTCGATTCAAGATTTGTATTGCAGGTGGGTGCGGTACCATCCGCCACTGGGTCTTCATTCCGCTCAGATTGAACCTTGCTTTGAGCTCGACTTTGAGCGAGACCCACAGCCAAAAAGAAATCATTTGAGTCGAGCATCCGAATGGCCCAGCCTGGAGTCGAACCAGGGGCTCCCACGTGCAAGTGCACTGAAGAAGACTATAATGCAAGGTGGGTGCCCGCCGTGCGCCACTGGGTCTTTTTTCCTGTGCAATTGAACCTTTCCTTGTGCGTTGCTCGCCACCATATTTAGAGCAAAGAAAAAAGAAGCCCGCTTCCGAAGGACCCAGCCTGGAGTCGAACCAGGTTCTCCCAGGTGCAACTGACAGGACTTGTTTATGCAAGGTGGGTGCGCGCCGTGCGCCACTGGGTCTCTTTCCTCCCATCTTGAACTCTGCTTTGAGTTCGAGTTTGCACGAGACCCACAGCCAAAAAGAAATCATTTGAGTCGAGCATCGGAATGACCCAGCCTGGAGTCGAACCAGGACCTCCCACGTGCAAGAGTGCAAGTGCAAGAAGACAATGGACAATGCAGGTGGGTGCGCGCCGTGCGCCACTGGGTCTCTTTCCTCCCATCTTGAACCCGGCTTTGAGCTCGAGTTTGAACGAGACCCACAGCCAAAAAGAAATCATTCGAGACAGACATTGGATGACCCAGCCTGGAGTCGAACCAGGACCTCCCACGTGCAGAACTTGCAAGCACGTACAGAGCGCGGGTGCGGACCATCCGCCACTGGGTCTTATTCCTCCCATCTTGAACCCTGCTGTGAGCTCGAGTTTGAACATCACAGAGCCAAAGAAAAAAGTGGCCATGCAGGAGCGCAGGACCCAGCCTGGAATCGAACCAGGTTCTCCCACGTGCAAGTACATCGATCAAAACCGAGAATGCAAGGTAGGTGCGCGCCGTGCGCCACTGGGTCTTCATTCCGCTCAGATTGAACCTTACTTTGAGCTCGACTTCAAGAGAACCAGAACAATTTTTTTTAAAAAAGTTTTGTTGCGAGAACTGCATGACCCAGCCTGGAGTCGAACCAGGACCTCCCGCATGCCAAATTGATCTTTTTCTATCTGGTGCGGGTGCGGTACCATCCGCCACTGGGTCTTCATTCCGCTCAGATTGAACTCGGCCTTGAGCCCGACTTCGAGCAAGATTCAGAGGCAAAATTAAAAAGTAGCTTTGGAACAGCTGTATGATCCAGCCTGGAATCGAACCGGGCGCTCCCGCATGACCATATTTACCATCTTCCCGGACTCATATGGTGCGGCCGCGGACCGTCCACCACTGGGTCTTCATTCCGCTTATCTGGAACCCTGTTGTGAGCTTGACTTCAAGGAGACCCACAGCCAAAAAGAAATCATTCGAGACGGACATTGGATGACCCAGCCTGGAGTCGAACCAGGACCTCCCACGTGCAGAACTTGCAAACATCTACAGAGCGCGCGCGCGGTACCCTCCGCCACCGGGTCTTCATTCCTCCCATCTTGAACCCGGCTTTGAGCTCGAGTTTGAACGAGACCCACAGCCAAAAAGAAATCATTCGAGACAGACATTGGATGACCCAGCCCGGAGTCGAACCAGGACCTCCCACGTGCAGAACTTGCAAGCACGTACAGAGCGCGGGTGCGGACCATCCGCCACTGGGTCTTCATTCCGGCACAGTTGAACCCTGCTTTGAGTTCGAGTTTGAGCGAAATCCACCTAAAAGATGGAAAAAGGTTACTGCGAAAAGAACACAATGACCCAGCCTGGAATCGAACCAGGGGCTCCCACGCGCGAGTGCACTGGAGAAGACTATAATCCAATGTGGGTGCGCGCCGTGCGCCACTGGGTCTTTTTTCCCGTAAAGCTGAACTATGCTTTGAACTCGACTTTGAACGAAACCCACAGCCAAAAAGAAATGATTTGAGTCGAGCATCCGAATGACCCAGCCTGGAGTCGAACCAGGGCCTCCCACGTGCAAGTACATCAATCAACACGAGAACATAAGAGCTCGTTCGGCTGCGAGATGCTGCATCTGCATCTGCATCTCGTTTCCTTATATAGTAGGCCGTGTGAAACGATCAATCCATGGGACTCGTCACATCAACAGTTGACCGACAGTGTCCGGCACTGTCCGCCGTCTTCCCGACGTCGTGTCGGGATGTCGGGATGGCTGTCGGGGTCCCGCCCACCCATCCTAAAATTGAATTTATGGAGTATTATGTGGATAAAGATGAACTCATTTATCTAACCTGATGATTCGATGGAATTGGAGGCAAGAAAAGATGTTTAAGGCATCTGGAAGTCGTCGACGGCGATGGGGACGACAACTCGGCGATGACAACGACCCATTCTCCATTGCTGTGATTGTTGCTGATGTGACTTGATGGCAGAACTTGCATCTTCCCACGAGTACCATATAAGGAGATCAGATGCAGATGCAGCATTTGCATCTGGCAGCCGAACGAGCTCTAAGGAGGGCGGGTGCGCGCCGTGCGCCACTGGGTCTTATTCCTCTACAGTTGAGCCCTGCTTTGAGTTCGAGTTTGCATGATATCTACCGCAAAAAGACATCATGGGGAACACCGGATGACCCAGCCTGGAGTCGAACCAGGACCTCCCACGTGCAAGTGCACAAATGCAAGAAGACAATGCAGGTGGGCGCGCGCCGTGCGCCACTGGGTCTTCATTCCTCTAGTGTTGAACCCTGCTTCGAAATATTCGCACCTAGATGGGAAAAAAGGACAGTCGAATGAAGTATGACCCAGCCTGGATTCGAACCAGGACCTCCCACGTGCAGAACATGCAAACATCTACAGAGCGCGCGCGCGGTACCCTCCGCCACCGGGTCTTCATTCCGCTCAGATTGAACCTTGCTTTGAGCTCGACTTCAAAGAGAACAAGAGCAATTTAAAATAAAGAGAGCTCTAACATGATGGACGAATGACCCAGCCTGGAGTCGAACCAGGTTCTCCCACGTGCAGAACATGCAAACATCTACAGAGCGCGCGCGCGGTACCCTCCGCCACCGGGTCTTCATCCCTGCCATCTGGAACCCTGCTTTGAATTAGAGGTCGAGAACACACAGGCCCGCGCGGGGAGAAAAAATACACGTCGTGCTTTTGAATGTCCCAGCCTGGAGTCGAACCAGGACCTCCCACGTGCAAGTACAACGATGAAAACTATAATGCAAGTGGGTGCGCGCCGTGCGCCACTGGGTCTACTTCCTCCCATCTTGAACCCTTCCTTGAGCTAGACTGTGCGGGATATCCGGGCCCAACAAAAAGTGGATGACAGCAATGTTATGATCCAGCCTGGAGTCGAACCAGGTGTTCCCACGTGCAGATCAACTCCCAGATCAATGCAAGGTGGGCGCGGATCATCCACCACTGGGTCTTATTTGCCTAGTGTTGAACCTCGCTACGTAGGCTACACCGGAGCAATGCCGCACGGGACCGAGGGGTTCTCGGTTGAAGTCAGCGCTGGACAGGAGATCAAAGAGGCTTGGGAACGAGACGTACGGGGTAGGCTCAGAGTCGTAACGGCGCCACGGGGAGAAAGAAAAAAGAAAACTAGTGGACTTCGAATGACCCAGCCTGGAGTCGAACCAGGTTCTCCCACGTGCAGAACTTGTAAACACCTTCAGGATGTACACGGCGCGGGCGCGGACCGGTCTTCATTCCCGTAGTGTTCAACTCTCTTTTGAGTTCGAGTTTGCACGAGACCCAGGGCAAAAAGGAAACCTTAACAACCCTTCCATGACCCAGCCTGGAGTCGAACCAGGGGCTCCCACGTGCAAGGACACCGACGTAAGACAATGAATCCAAGGTGGGCGCCGTACCGTCCGCCACTGGGTCTTCCTTCCTCCCATCTCGACCCCTGCTGTGAGTTCGAGTTTGAACGAGACCCACAGCCAAAAAGAAATCATTCGAGACGGACATTGGATGACCCAGCCTGGAGTCGAACCAGGGCCTCCCACGTGCAGAACTTGCAAGCATCTACAGAGCGCGGGTGCGGACCATCCGCCACTGGGTCTTATTCCTCCCATCTTGAACCCTTCCTTGAGCTCGAGTTCGTAGGATATCTGGAGCCCAGAGACGGGAAAAAGTTGGTCCTGGAGATGCATGACCCAGCCTGGAGTCGAACCAGGGTCTCCCGCATGCCAAATTGACCTTTTTCTATCTGGTGCGGGTGCGGTATCATCCGCCACCGGGTCTTCCTTCCGCTCAGATTGAACCCTGTTGTCAGCTCAAGTTTGAACGAGAACCGGAGCAAGAAAAAAAAGAAGGCTCTCCTCGAATGACCCAGCCTGGACCAGCCTGGAGTCGAACCAGGGCCTCCCACGTGCAGAACGTGCAAACATCTACAGAGCGCGCGCGCGGTACCATCCGCCACTGGGTCTTCATTCCCGTAGTGTTGAACCCTGCTGTGAGCTCGACTTCAAAGAGAACAAGAGCAAAATTAAAAAGCTTCATGTGATAGACGAATGACCCAGCCTGGAGTCGAACCAGGTTCTCCCGCATGCTCATATTTACCATCTTCCCGGACTTATATGGTGCGGGGGCGATCCCGTCCGCTACTAGGTCTTCATTCCTCTACAGTTGAACCCTGCTGTGAGCTCGACTTCAAAGAGAACCAGAGCAATTTAAATAAATAAATAAAAATTTTAACATGATGGACGAATGACCCAGCCTAGAGTCGAACCAGGGCCTCCCACGTGCAAGCCACTGGAAGAACGATAATGCAAGGTGGGTGCGCGCCGTGCGCCACTGGGTCTTATTTCACCCATCTTGAACCGTCCTTTGAGCTCGAGTTAGCATGCGATCCAGAGCCAAAGAAAAAGTGGCCATGCAGGAGCGCAGGACCCAGCCTGGAGTCGAACCAAGGCTTCCCACGTGCAAGTACAACGATGAAAACTACAATGCGAGTGGGTGCGCGCCGTGCGCTACTGGGTCTCTCTTGCGGAGGGATGCACTCCGCGAGGTGGGATGCATTTCGTAGGGTGGGTGCATTTCGTAGCGTGGGTGGGGCGAGTGGATGTAGACGAAAGAGAGGAGAAGCGGGCGACTCGGACGCGTACTAGAGGGGAACGGGTGTAGGTGTTATTCAGGGCGGATGTAGTTGGCGTGGTACTTCTCCCGCATATTTTGTTTTTGCCCGTCACTCTCCGTGGCCTTCCCTGCCATATCCTGATGCCTAAGCCTCCCCGAACGACGCCGACCTGCGAACATCGCCGCCCAATAATTCTGATCCCGACTCTCTTCTCCATCTAATCTATGGTCCGCGCTCGGAGAAATGTGCCTGCGGAGGCTTAGCCCTCTGCGCATGCCCGGCAAGAACAAGAAGGGGCGAAATTTGAAGGGACACGGCGCACCAACACGAACGATACATACATACATAAGGGCTGTCTCCAGCGCACGGGATACCGCGGCGAAGGACTTGATGGAGCAGCGGACATAAATATAGACGGATTACTGAAAGTTGACAGGTAACTTGTATTGGTGCTCGGGCACTCGGGCCCGGGGATCATTTGTGGGCCTGCCAAGGCGGAGATTCGCGCTTGCTGGGAACAAGGGCGAGGGCGATTGGATGGCTCAGAGGACGCAGCTTGAGCGCGAATGCATGGAAGGAGGCACGAAAATCGGGAGTTTGAGGCAGATTTCTAAGGGCCGGCCAAGAGACGCAGAGCTGGGAGTGCGAGTGAGAGGACCGGGCAGCCCCGCAGAGACGACCGAGAGAACAAAAGGAGGAATGACCAAAGTAGTGGAAGTGGAAGTGGCTTCCACTTCCATTAATGAAGTTCAGTGGAAGTGAAACCACTTCCACTTCCACTGGTGTCTGTCACGCTTCCCGCCCGCGGCGGCGCGCCTCCTGATCTCTCACTTGGTGCGTGTGCGCACCTCCGAGTCCGGAGGGAAGTGGGTAAATGATTTATTTTATCTAGTTGGTGCTTTTGAAATCATTTCAGTGGCATCCCGAGGGACAGGCCTTTGTCGAAGCTCAAGGAGAGGAAGACAGTGAATGGGAATATACAGTGCGTGTGACGCACATTACTTGATTACTTTTGACTTAAATACATTCGATGCCCTCGTCCCGGACCCATCATAGTAGTTGGCACACGGCAGGGTGGCATGCATTTCGGATGTAGAAAGTAGAAAGTCCGAGGGGAGGCGGTACTTGTTAAATGTAAAGGACGGTCAGTCTCAAAAAACAATAGAAATCTACGCGTGCTAAATTGGGAGATAATGCCGGGCGCACCAGTCGGCTATCCCGTTATAGTGACGCCTCCACTTCCACTGGTGGGTACTTCCACTTCCACTGGCCCACTTCCACTTCCACTGACTCACTTCCACTTCCACTACTTTGGTACTTGCTCGAACAAAAGGATCCGCGTGGCGCTGTCAGCCGAGTTTGCGCGTGTTAGGCGCAGAAGGCGCCGCGCCAAGACAATTTATCTATGGTCTGTTCTCACCGCCGTTGACGACGCCCACCCAACGCTCCGCCCACACGCACACTACTAGCTAGCTACCATGCACATCACAGCGCCGCCGCTGGTCCCGCGCATCACCCTCGTCCCCACTGCCACGTCCGGCGTCCCCGCCTCGTCCGACACCGTCAGCCACTCACACAGGTGCGTCACGGTCTGCCAGCAAGGGCGCGAGGGAGAGGAAGACTGATTGGAGGATGTGTGTAGACCGGACCCGACGCAGCACTTCCAATCGGACAAGCAGGCGAAGGCGCCCGTGGGGCTCATCGTCGGCGTCGCGATCGCCATCCTCGCCGCCGTCGTGGGCCTCTTCCTCCTCCGCTACCTCTTCATCCGCCGCGCCCGCCGCCGCGAGGCCGCCTCCGCCTCCGCTTCATCTGCTGCGGCCCTGCCCCCGATGGCGAAGAAGCAGGGCCCATTCCCGCCCCCGCCCCCGCCGCAGGACGCCGGGAAGCAGCTCCCCGCAAGCGAGCGCGACGCCGTGCCGCTGACGCACACGCACTACCCGCCGTCATCCGCGGGCGGCTCGTGGCCCACGCCGTTCGCCCCCGCCGCCGCAGACGCCCCGGGCGCGGGCTCGTCGCCCGCCGCGCGCCAGGCGCACCTCGCCGCGGAGCTGCGCGCCGCGCAGGCGCTGCTCGAGCGCGGCGGCAAGGGCGTCGACACCGTGCGCACCAGGGCGCGCATCCGCGAGCTCGAGGAGCGCCAGCAGAGCGCGTGGGCGCTCGGCCTCGAGTAGCCGCGCGTGTGCGGGCTCGGGTAGCCCGCAGAGTGCGGGGCGGACGGCTGTGCCGCGTGTTTTGCTGGATTCTTATTCTCTGCTTTGCTTTGCGGATTGGACGGACGGACGACGGACTCCGACGCTGGGTGTGTACGTACATCCTACCCTACCTCCTACCTCCGCTGTACATCCCTACCGCCCTACCTCCGATGTACATGTACATCTGTGTGTACGTGCAGCCTACCCTACCTCCCACCCGACTGTACATCCCTACCCGTACAGACCGAATGTACATTTTCCTACTCCACCTCCGTACATACCGCCATACACACCCACCTACCATAAGTACACTACGCCGACCCCGGGGAGTTCCCCGGATTCTGTATTACACCTGTCTTTTCTGTGCGCATGCGCTGTCCTTTGCTGTCTTTTGTGCTGTCATTCCAGTGTACCGTGTGGCGCGTGGCGCGTAGCGGTACGGGTTTCGTGCGCGCATTCGGCGTGTGCCCGCGCTCGGATTGACTTCGGCATTCATCATCTTCGCTTCGCGCAGCGGGTGTTCGCAGTAAGCAAGCAGTGCCCTTGCTCCCAAACGTACGCCTGCGAAAGACTCAGACGTGGTGTAGCGGTAACACTGTCCAACAAATTGAACTGGTCCAAATTCTATGGGGAAGTCCCGGGTTCGAACCCCGGCGTCTGAGTGGAGGGAGTTGAATTCTTTTTGTTTGTTTGTTTTTGGCCCCCTGCTGATTTTTCTCCCTGTTGGGCTGGGCTAGCTTGGGGCGTCAAAGTTTGCGATTTCCGCCCGTTGATAAGTTATCCGGAGCTGCCAGCATAAGGGGAAAGCAAGGAGGAAGGACCCGGGATGTGTATCACATCCCAGCTATAGATAGGGCCCTAACCGTAAAACGGGCGCCTGCGGGAGATTCAGACGTGGTGTAGCGGTAACACTGCCCAACAAATTGAGCTGGTTGAATATTCTGTGGGGACGTCCCGGGTTCGAGCCCCGGCGTCTGAGTGTACTGAAGCTTTGTACGTTTTTTTTTTGGCTCTCTGGATTTTTCTTGATAAGTTATCCGGAGTGCGCGCTGATGAATAAGGAAGGAAGGGAGTAAGGAAAAGGACTCGGAGGAATATTCTGTTATATCACATTACATAGCTGTATGCAGTGCACTTGCTGCAAGGTGTACATCTGTGGAAGACTCAGATGTGTAGCGGTGACACGGCCTCCCCACATGAACAAAAACCATGCAAGTTCAGGAGGCAGTCCCGGGTTCGATCCCCGGCGTCTGAGCTGTTGGAATTGATGCTTCCTTTTTTCTTTTGGCTTTTGCAATCTCTCTGTTGATTGATTTAAATTTTTCTCTGTCGATTTTGTTTGGAGGCCTTTCACGTGCCGCGATTATTTGCGCGCGCTATGATTACGTATTCATATTTTGGTTTCCTGCTGTCAGGACTGCCGGCGTACGGAAAACAGGAAGGTGAAGGACTCGGAGAAATATGTATGTATTATATTACATAGCTCTAGTGCTAGTGTAGCAAAATGGAGGGCTAAGTCTGACGTGGTGTAGCGGTGACACGGCCTCCCCACGTAAACAAAAATGGTGAAAGGTCAGGAGGCAGTCCCGGGTTCGAAGCCCGGCGTCTGAGTTCGTTTCGCGCAGTAATCTTTTTTTTTTGGCCCTCTGGCTTTGCGTACCGCGATTGTTTGCCGCCGGGGGTTATTTCCCTAGATCTTTCTAAATTCTGTTTGATATCCGGAGTAGATAGGGGAAAAAGCAAGTAAGAAGGGAGGGAGGAGGGAGGAGGGAGGAGGGAGGAGAAATAAAAAGAAGCTTTGGCCCGAATTCAGACACCGGGGTTCGAACCCGGGACTTCCACATATATGCCTATCGCTGCTTCAATTACATACAGAGGGGATGTTACCGCTACACCATGTCTGACCTCATTACTCAGATGCACGAATGAAGAAGGATGACTGGGTTATGCACGAGGATGACAAATCCGAAATTCTAGAAGCGGAAATAATATCAAAATGGGTTTCTAAAGCCAGAATTCAAACACCGGGGATCGAACCCGGGACTGCCCCAGAACCAATGCGAGAAGACCAACAGAAGGGGCTGTGTTACACGTCTGACTTAATACTTCAACGCACAAGGGCGCCTCAGCTGCTTGGTTGGATGTGCGACGATAAAGAGACAAATAGAGTCGGTAAGAACAAAAAAGAGGGAGAAATAAGCTGCGATGAGGAACTCAGACACCGGGGATCGAACCCGGGACTACCCCAGAGCCAATCATGGAAATTATAAAATAGGAGGGGTCGTGTTACCGTTACACCATATCTGACTAGATGACGTGGTTGAGCGAGCACCGAGGATGGAGGGACAGAATCCGACATTCAAACGAAAAAGGGAGTAGACATAAAAACAAGTTTGACGAAAGGAAAATTCAGACACCGGGGATCAAACCTGGGACTTCCCCAGACCATGGGGTCATGTAAATATGAGGGGTTGTGTCACCGCTACACCACTGACTTTCTTTCACCAGTACACCACACAGACTTAAGCTTGGTTGTACTACTACAACTTTGTGACTGCATTTGAATTCCTAAGAGGAAGAAGAAATACAGTTAAAAAGGCGGTCTGCTGCAAATCCCATTCAGACACCGGGGTTCAAATCCCGGGACTGCCCAGTAATCTTTCTCCAACGCCGTGCTATGTCTGACTTCTAATTAGTCACTGGGATGTGCGAGGAAACTTGTGTGGTGTGGTTGCTGGCTCAGATAACATGGTGTAGAGATAACACGGCCTGTGTGTTTCTTTTTATTGACTTTCAACACTTTCTGAATCATTCGAGGTGCAGGACAGAAGGTAGAGGTATAAGCTGTGTAGTAGAGGAATACAAGTCAGACATGGTGTGGCCTCCCTATCTTATGCCCACATGAATTTCTGCGAGGCAGTCTTGGGTTCGAACCCCAGTGTCTGAATAAACCTGCAACTTGTACACTTTTTCACACTTTAGTCCTGAAGAGTTCTTTGCTTCGTGATGAGCGCATTCGTGGTCGTAAGATATTTTTTCTTCTCAAATTCTGTTAGTCGTCCTGGACTATAACAACTGGGGTTATGCATAGATGCATCACTCTAAATCAAGACTAGAATTCCTGTTGAATTATGTGCTATTGATGTGGAAGGGGATATAGAGGAGGCAGTCAGACATGGTGTAGTGTGAACCGAGCCTCTAAGAGTTAAAGGGGGGGAAATCAAATCCTGGGTTCAAATCTCGAGTCAGTCCCAGTAGAAAGATTGAACATAGTTTTTTTGTAGCATGTATTTTACTCTCGCAGCCTGTGTTCAATGCCTCCTTTCCCTCCGGAACAGACCCAAATTTCACCCCGAATTCTGCTCCTGTTCATGAGGAAGTAAATGGATAATATGAAATCAGACATGGTGTAGTGCGAACACGGCCTCTCATCTTGAAACCTGAACTCTGCTGGCTCTGCGGGGCAGCCCCGGGTTCAATTCCCGGTGTCTGAATTTTCTGGGGGTAAGAATATTTTGTTGCTTGGGCTGTCAACTTCCTGTCCAATCGACACAGTGATTTCTTACAGAACTTGAGGGATTGAGCATTTTCTGATGCATGATTACTGTTGGAATGTTGCACTCCTGATTTCATCGGCACACCAAGAATAGCCTGTCTTAGTTTCAGGTTGAACTCTGCTTTGCTTGTGTGGAAGGGGATGTAGAGAGCGCAATCGGACATAGTGTAGCGTGAACACAGCCTCTCATCTTAGACGGTAGTTTGAGTAACTTGATGGAGGCAATCCCGGGTTCGAGTCCCGGTGTCTGAGTAATGAGTTTAAACATGGCTTTTTGGGGGGCATTTATTTCATCTTCGCAGCCTGGTTCAAGGGTCATCACCTCCTAGGTTCGCACCGACTGCTCCCATCCAAAGAAATTCGGACTCTGAGATGTCATATTGAATGGATCATTTGGTTTGAGCTACATAAATACACAAAATACGGAATCAAAAGAGTACAAGAGAAGCTTTGCCTGCCGTGCTACAGCAATGATATACATAAAAAGATTTCGACGGGAAGGAACAACAAAAGAGTACCAGTGGACCTCGGAGCAGAAATGTCAGACACAACTGCCCATTGACTCCTTTGCGCCTCGATTGTACATCACGATGACCGATTCATCCGTGGGTTTCGTATTCTCACTCTGGCCCGGGGAGTCGCCGGTGGCGTATGTCGGGATGGTGACCACTTCCTGGTTCCTATTTTGCGCATAGAGTTTGTCCCGGACGTGGTCGCGCGAGTTTAAGCTAGAGGGCGTTGGCTGGTGGCGAGCAAAGCGAAGATGGTGCTTACATTGACATTAGACTGCATCCGTAGACTTGATTTGAAGTGTGAGTGGATCCGTTGCAGATGGGCCGTGGCTACTCACGCCGAACAAGAATGAAAAAGAATCTGGAAGGCACGATTAAAATCGAAGCGGAGGGGGAGGTTTGACCCACAATGCATATGTCAAACTCGTAGTTGCTGAGGTAACGAACTAATGTAGTGGATTAATTATGTACCAATTTATGAAGAGACCACTCACCGTCGCGAGACAGCAAATGGCGGTGATCCTGAGTTGCACATGAGCCAGACCGTCGGCCGAAGGAAGAGAATTTCGCACATCAGTAACATGCCACTATTGACAGTGTAGGCGATAAGTGTCCTGAGGGCGTTATCGGTCCTATGATTGTTTGGCATTTATAAGACAAGAAAAATAAAATCAACACACGGGCGGAAACCAGTGCGGCTCTGTGCAAAGAAATAGACCATGGACCCCGAGATGAGACCGTCCGTTGCGACTTCAAATGCTAGACCACCGGTCGAGAATGGCTAGCAGCATGATCAGCAAATACGCGTATGTTATAGAGTCCGCAGATACATACAATTTCCACTCCGGAGTCTTGGTAGGTGGCAGTTTTGAACCTAACAATCGTCACATTCGCAAAACACGTCCTGAGGATTGTCTCACGTTACATCCATATATACTGCAAATTCTCGAGTTCAACCTTGGGCGAGACTAGGGAGGGATTACGGAGCGCACCAATTGCAAGAGCTGAATGCGATGTATTTAAAATTTTGCGCAGTGAAGAAAACCCAACACTTACAGAGCTGAGCAAGTGAACAAACAGCCTACGGGGGAGATTTGTGAGCCACCAAGAACACAGCTAAGCTGAATACTCACAATGGTGAGCGGCATGTATAGGGATTTATTTGACAGCGCCCAAATACGGGAGGCATAAAACCTGCGCCACTATGTGTTAGCTTGCTTAGGACTACGTTCAAAATTGGTGCACTAACATCTGGACTAGAGTGCTCAGAAGAACTAGTGCATGTGAGCACGTATTGCGGGATTTTTGCAATTGCTTCACCTCCGACACCAATTTGTGCCTGCGGCTCATGAGGTAGTGAAGTGTAGACTGATAAATATACGAACTTGAAGAGTCCTGCGGATGAGATGATAAAAAGAATAAGACATCTCAGGTTTAATCTCACCATGGTGCTGCACTGATCGCCAGATAGTCACCAAAATTAGTAACCGAAGTTACATAGTACGAGGCCGTGATGAAGACCAAATGAACAATGTCTAAGACCCTAGGGAGCCGGCAGATTAATTTCAAGGATTTTGAAGAACGTATATGTTACATGAGGACCGCGACCTTTGAGTCAGACAGTCAATCAGCAATTCATCCAGGACAACACCGGTGACATACAAAGAGCTTCATGAAGACCGGGTCCCGAGAGCAGAACTTGGTGTAGTACAAGTAAACCTGAATTCTGGAATTTAGCAGAGTAATTAGTAGGGTAGACTCGGCTCTGACCTGGAGACATGTAACACCGAAGACACTTGAAAAGGAAAGTGTCAGCTCGTCATTGAAGATCACGGCGGAGGCGCGCACATAGACGAAAGAACGATGCCTATGAACCAGGGCCCGAGTAGACTTCCCAACGGAATGAGACTGTGCCGTTCAACAATTGTCGACATTGGATCAGACAGAGCAAGACCCTGAGTGAAATTCCTCTGAAATACACAGCGCCTTTTAAGGGCTCCAAGCGCTTGCCATCTTTGGATCGTACCCTAATCATACTTAATGGCACCAAAAAATGGTGTGAGTGGGTCTCCTATTAATATTTGAGTGCGGGAACTCATCTTCCGTTCATCTGACCATCTGCCTTCACGAATCATTGAATGTTCGCTTTTGCTCTCGGTATTTTTGAGCATCTGACAACGAACTTGGAGTTTGAACATCCGACTCGAGTTGTTGAAGGGGTTGGTAGCGATCCGTCCGCCATTAGCGCTCTGGACCCACAGACGGAGCTCCGTGTCTGGTTCTGGAAGGAAATTAAATGCAAGCCAGGTATTCATCATGTATACTTGAAGACACATGCGGAAATGATCCCCTGCGGAGGAGGAGGAGGAGGATGTAATATTGTTTGCAGAGGTGAACACTGTCTCGGCCGGGTAGCAAAGATGGTGAGTACGTACATGATCTGCGTGATCTGCAAGAGACGCCGCCGTCTATCATCCAATCGGGGCACTCTTCCGTTTGTATTGTAATCAACCGGTGCAAGTGGATAAAGATAGCGCCTCACGTCGTGGCGCACCATGATCAATGGTTCTCGTGTTCCATCTGAAATCTGTACTCTGAAATAGGAATATCAAGTATTCAACAAGGGTTTTCATAATGGCCACTGGCCTGTCCGCCACATACCTCACGGGCGTGTACGAGTGAGCTTCTGTAAGCATCAAGATCTGTTCCGCTCTCTACCCACAGCTTCTCAAGGAGACCCGTCGGAGAAGGCGCCTGGTTTAGAGACCTGAGTACTTCCCGAAGCTTCAGCGGTGATCTAGCCACGTTCCACTAAAACTCCGTTAACCACCGGCCGGTCCAGCGGTTCACATCTTGAACAAGGAATTATAAAACATGGTAGAGTGGACTCCCACCGTCTTGCTTAGATGCTGCCGATATAACGAGTTCGGCTGCACCTCCAAGTGCACGAAGCCAAAATTACTCTTGATGCTGCCGCAATGCTGCCAGATGAGACGTGATAGTGATGCTGCCAGGGAAAACTTGATGTTGAACGGCCCGCTCCATCCAAGAATTCGCTGATCTGTGGGCATGGGATCTCAAATGAAGCAAGGATCGCAGCCACACGAGAGAAATCAGTGCCTGGAAGACTTACATCTCGTTCCTGCCATGCGTGTGAAAATTGCATGCAAGGGAGAGGGTGGTGGTATCGTCGGCTAGAACCTCTGGAATAGCGCCCGGAGAAGTTGACAATTAACGATGTAACCGGGATGCCAGATGGATCACATACGTACGGAAAAATGCCCTCCTGGCGCTATTTAGATATCACTGGGGTATTTTTTCCCATGATATGTTGCATGGCGGCGTTGATGATATTCGCATGATCGGTGCCCTAAGTCGAGATAATACAGAAGTACTGCTCTCGATGTCATTCCGGTCCATCTCACCTCTGTGTCCTGTGAACTAACGTTTGGCAGGCGAGAGAAATATGAAACTATATGATATAGGACAACCGGGGGTAGTGAATTTGTTGGACCTGTTGAACGTAAACGTGACTGAGTGAACAAAAAAGTCAACCACCGCCGCTTACAACACAGACATTGAGCTGTTCGACTGCGGCCTTTTAAAATAGTAGTCGTAGGTGGGAAAATGACGATGGATCCTAGACAGAACATCGGATGATCACAGAGGTGAAATGCATCACAATTCCCTCGAATCTTGATTCTGGCCCAGATTCCTCGCGAATCTTGATCTTGAAATGCACCCGAGTAGCGCTCGCCCTCTAGTTGGGGGCGGTGAGGAAGTCCATAAAGGCGATGATATGATGAAGGAAGGCCTCGGGGAATCAACGGAGTAGGATGCCGTCGTGGTGGCTACACTTATCGGTTTAAGAAGGATTGAGGCGTCGGTGAAGTAGAGCCTGAGGTTAGCGGAACAGAGCCGAGAGCAGGTTGTTAAGGAAACTGGGCGGCCACTGCAGGGGTTGGAATCGAGGGGTTAATGCTGGCTTCAGATGCGAAGCTCTCCAAGTCGGATCTGAGGTGGCATTGTGGATCATCATCGGGGTGAGTTGAGAAATTTGTTGGGGACGAAATTGGCTTGCCTCTCATCTTGAAGCAGAATATTTGCTGGCTGTGTGGGGTAAACGGGAAAGGACTGAAATCAGGTGACGACTGGCGGTTTCCGCAGGAAGCGAGGCTGTGAAAAATACGGGTTGACGGCGGCGTACATACCGCAGCTTGGGACCCCAAATACTCAGTGTGGTGCCACTTGATAGGGAAGATTCTCGGATAGGACGGGCATATGTATTACGACGCTGAGATCACACCAACAACAAACTCGGAGTGAGAGATGCACGAAAAAGAGGAACCGGTTCAACGTACGTCCCGAGAACGCGAGGATTATTATCTGCAAGATTTCGAGTATCGAGAGGTAACCACTTTTATTTTTCGATGATGGTGGTTCTTGTCAAGAGTTGTTTGATCGTGTTTCATCTCTCTTGATCCTAACCGTCATCTTGCAACTTTGCAAGCTGAGATAACGAACACTGGTGAGCGTTCTGCGTCTAAACGGATGTAGTCGGAATCCTGCGCTCTGTGACTCACAGGTGGGCCGCCCAAGGTCCAGACTGGAAGCCGACTCGGAACGTTCAAATACTGGTACTGCTCAAGGCACGGCGGAATACAGCGCAGCTACTGGGACCCCTGCATCCCCAAAGCAGCTCCAAGACACCATAATTTCATTTTCGCGGGAGATTTGCGC